CGCTCCTTTGAGTAAAGCTGCATCGACCCGACGACCCGGCCCTGCTGCTGGCTAATACCGACCACGACCATCCACTTCTCCTCGGCGTTGACGCGGTAGTTAATAATTTGGCATCCCTAAAGAGCACGCAGATTAGCATGCTAGGCTTCCATTGTTGTGTCCATATCTCGAATCACATACTGAAAGGTTCGGAAGTCGGTCGAACACCTTGACGGGGTTCTGCTGTGTGGCGTCATAAACATCCCAGTGGTAGACCGCTGAGTCGGTGACCAGACCGAGGGACCTTTCGCTGAACCACTTCCAGTAGACAATATCTTCATTCATATTCGCCGACTTCAGCTTTTGCCGTGCGCCAAGGTCAAAGATCTGAATGGTGCGGCCCTGAGCCTTCAAGGCGATGATGTTCTTGTTCCAATGCATGATCGCACTGTCGGCGTTGATCGGGCGTCGTAGAACTTCATTGTTGTTCTTGAGGTCGATAATGATGACTTCTGGTTTGCTCTCATCGTCCAGCTTTTGACGAACACAGACGTAATGATCAGATTCTAGTGTCTAAAGCGAAAGGTTGTTAAGTTAGCCGGGTCTTGTCAACCATGTTTTGGGTCAGTCGCAAGGCGACAGTAAACAACTTACACATGAAGTGAAGCCAATTGATGCCGGCTGTAAACATAAACGTTAGTACCAGTCCTGAATTATTCCAAAATATTGTGATGGCCGGTGCATCCGTCTCAAAGCTCGAGCTAATCACGAAGCGTCGCCGGTAATCATGGTTGGCTGTACATACCGCAATGCCGACAGAGGTCAACTGTAGAATTCAGGCTAGGTCAGTTTCAAAGCTTCAATAGTGATGACATAGACATGAGGGGTAGCCACGTACATTGACCAGCTCTGTGAACTTGATAGGTAGAGGTGCCATATTTACGTAGGCCGTAGTACGACCTAGTCCGCCGAATGAAACGCCACGCAAAGAAGGCAGAAGAATTGAAGTATGATGAAAAAGGGTGATGAACTGCGAACGTCACGAGGAAGAAAAAAGAAAAGAAGAAGATGTATGAAGAGAGGAGGGGGGGTAGGGATCTGGTAGATGCGGAAGTGACCTCAGGAGGCCGCTGCCGTCGTTGCTGAGGTGTCGCTTATGATCGATCACGTGACACGGGTCTTGCAAGATCGTCTCTTTCAAATGCAGTGTTGGTATGCAGGAGAGATAAAGAGAAGAGGGAGCAAAGTGAGATATGAATGGCAAACTCGTTGATATCTTGTTTGTCAGATTAACCTGAGAGAAGTGCCATCAACTCAGGTTCATACCTCTTCTACCTATGTATGTATGTTAAGAGGTAGCTGACCGCCTTCATAATGCCCCAGTGTTTACTCCGTCCAGTACACGACATTGGCTCCCATCACTCACCTGGCCACGTTCTCTGGGGTTTCTTTGTTTATATTCTATGACTTTTTTGACTCAAATATTACCACTGCCCTGAGGATATATATTACACCTCTAGCCTTTGAATGAGACCAATTTCTGAAATGCCAGCTATTGAATAAGCTGCCCCTTAACCCGTAGACCCTGAGAGCAAGGAATATGCATATTCGCAAGTTGTAGCCTCTCGCGGCTAAAGCCAAGACTTCCGAACTCGGGAGATTCCAGGCTTAGGATTTGGGAATTGGCCCCTTAACCAGATCCACTCTAGCGGAGCCTGATATCCAACCATTACATTGCGCTTCAACCCTTCGGACGTCATCAGTTGAGCAGCACCTGTGTCCCTTTGTTACTTTCCTAATATAATATTGTTTAACCACTGAATTCCAGTGGCCTCTAATCTAGGGCACCTCCCCAGACCAAAACAATATAGCCGACTGCTCACAGCCCACTAGAGTCCAGAAGGAAATTATTCCGAGGATCCTCTAAACCCACGTTAAGAAGACCCCCAACCGGAGCCACTGGAATGCGTATCGGCCCATTTTTAACACAAGTTTTCGGCGGAACGGATCAATGACCACACGCATAGCGCCACACGGCTTACGGGTGCTTGTCTATGTCGGCTGGCTCAAGCCCATAAGGATCGCTGGCCAAGGTCATCCCCACGCCAAGCCAGCCTTAAAGTGCGAAATGCGGGATGTTGATTATATCCTGTCCTGCCATTGGATGTACGGTGCTTTCAAGTCCTTGGCATCTGCATGGCTCCCCAGCCGAGTGATATGTTTCCTGTCCGAAACTCGGGCCATCCTGGGGTGCAGCGGCATTTAGTGCTCCATCACGAGGAAAATGCGGGATGGAGATGCGGGGGTATACCGGGGTGTGCACCTATAAAATGGTGAGCGCAGACGTAGAAATTGAGAGGAATATGCCAAAGATCCCCCGGAAGAATCCCACTAAGGTCTACTATCGAATTCCCTGCGCCGCCTTGTTTAGAGTGATCTGCTTCTTCTTCTATCTTCCTCCTTTTTTTCTTCGTTTTCTCAATCTTATTCTCCCTCTCTCGATAGATCGCCATAATGGCATCTTCCAATGAAAGGGCAGATCCCATTCCGGATGGTATGTTCGCCACGGCACGTCAGTCCATCGGAGATCTCTTCATCTGGAGACAGCGTGTTGAGGTGACCAATGAACACGGAGAGTCATACACAGAATGGCAATCCCCAGAGCGCATTAAGAACCCTTTCAGTCTGATGGCGCAGCTTTCAGCTCGAGACTGGGTGTTCTTTATAGTGGGACTCTCCGCCTGGACTGCCGATGCATTTGACTTCCATGCCCTTTCCATCCAGACAGTAAAGCTGGCAAAATACTACGACAGATCCAAAACAGACATTTCGACTGCCATTACTTTGACTCTGCTTCTGAGAAGTGTAGGAGCTGCATTCTTTGGACTCGCTGGTGACAAATATGGTCGTAAATGGCCCATGGTGCTCAATATGATCATCCTCGGAATCTTGCAAATTGCCACCATTTATAGTAAGACCTTCCAGCAGTTCTTGGCTGTACGAAGTCTTTTTGGTCTTTTCATGGGTGGCGTTTATGGAAATGCTATTTCGATGGCTTTGGAGCATTGCCCGTGAGTATCATCCTCCATGGCTGGGTGACTTTTGCTGACCATCTTGACTAGTGTCAACGCGAGAGGGCTTATGTCTGGTATCCTTCAACAGGGGTATTCAATGGGATATGTGTTTGCAGCATGTGCCAACCTTGGTGTTGGCGGTGCAACAGAGACTTGGAAGACTGTATTCTGGATTGCAGGTGAGTGTACTATGCCCATTGAAGACTGTTTGCCTACCACTAACGATTTCTCGTGTGCAGCCGGTATCTCAATTGCAGTTGGTCTCGTTCGCATCTGCTTCCCCGAGTCGCAGTCCTTCATCGAAGCGAAGAAAGCTGGCAAGCGAACAATGAACGCAGGCGAGTTTTGGCGTGAAACAATAAGCATGATGGGCAAGGAGTGGCGCAGGTGCGTCTACTGTATCATTCTCATGACCTGGGTATGTTGTGACCGATATTGCGGCTCCTATCAGCATATATCTAATTCGTCCTGCGGTAGTTCAATTACTATTCCCACACATCCCAAGACTCGTACACCACATTCATGCTCACTGAAAAGGAGCTCGATAACGACGGCGCCTCGCGGGCTTCTATTCTGATGAAGACAGGAGCTTGTGTGGGCGGAACCATCATCGGCTACCTGTCTCAATTCGTCGGTCGTCGCCGAGCAATCATCGTCTCCGCCATTCTATCTGGAGTCCTCATCCCGGCCTGGATCCTCCCAGAAGGCGAGAAGTCTCTGAGCGCGACAGGATTCTTCATGCAGTTCTTCATTCAGGGAGCATGGGGTGTGATTCCTGTTCATCTGGCCGAACTATCTCCCCCGGCGTTCCGTTCGTCGTTCACCGGTCTGACGTACCAGATTGGAAACATGATTTCTTCACCATCGTCGCAGATTATAAACGCAATCTCTGAATCTACATTTATCACTAGTGCAGCTGGCCATCGCGTTGAGGCATATGGGCCTGTGATGGGAGTTGCCACTGCCATCATCGCTCTCGGTATCATGGCCACTACTGCTGTTGGTCCTGAGAAACGTGGTAGCCGGTTCGAAAGTGTTGTGGCTGGAGTTGATGAGGCTGTCGACGCCAAAACCATGGACTTGGAAAGAGGTGAAGATAAACATAGTGATGAGACTATTGAAATGGCGGATAAGAAATTGTAAATTTGGTCAAGGTTGGTCATTGTTGATTTTGGCATCAGGGTGACCGCTGGTCCTTTTGCCATTCTACGGAGTGCAATACAGAGGCTTATAGCTACTTTATATTATGATTTACATCGAGGACAACAAACAATGAGTAACGAGAAAATGGCACTGCACCCGGCCCTTCGCATCCCTGGGTAATGTTGGGCTGCACCATGTAAAACACAATCACACGTAAACTAGAATGTGCCTTATATATGGCATTGGCATGCCCATATACAAGGTACTTTGAGGAAAGATATAAAGATATTATAGACAAGAATAGTCGGTCGCTTATACGGCCGTAGTCTAGTGGTCTTCTTAGGTAGTCTTCTCCGATAGTCTTTTTATATGTCTTTTTAGTGGTCCTTTTTAGTAGTCTCTCTAGGTAGTCTTTTTAGTTATCTAGGGAGTCATATACAGTACGTCCCGTAACTGGTGTCACCACTTACACTCTTCGATTGTTCCCCGAACCCTAATGCCAAGATCTACTATACTGTATGGGGAATAGTCTCGGACTATCAATGTCCCCGTTTGATTACCTGTACCGTACTTTACGCCCAAAGATACTTGTATGTCGTGTCTCATTACTGTATGGAGTAGCTGGAACTTCCCATATCAATGCAAACAAGTCAAATACCAGGAGCTGGAGTGGGTCTCGACAATCTGACAATCTGGCAAGAAGTCACTTCCCTCTGTTACCCACACCCTCGGTGTTCAAGTGGCGACCCAGGGCTGGCTTGGTACACATCAGATAGCACACACAATGACAACACCGATCCATGCTCAAGCTCCGTAATGGACAAACTGTGCCCAATGTAATGGCCGTTTTCGATATTCAACCCTCGTCGAAACGTCAGAAACCGCCTTATGAAGTGCCATCGCGACAGCTCTATCACTGTACTCTAGAGTTCCGTTCCGACAAAGCTCAGCATAGAACAATTTCGCAACCTCCACGCACACACTATCATCAGATGGCCACAAAGTCCCAATGACGTGTCGGAATCCGGCGACCTGGAAACCGCTGACAACATGAAGGGCCTCATCTATCAGATCTTTTGCCTGATTCTCTGCAGTCGAGCATGCAGAGAGGTATGCAATTTCTCCAAGAGTAGGGGGGTTTTCGCAGAGTTTCAGAACAGTTAGGGTTTCCTGTCTTGGGTCTGCAGTGGCAGTCTGTAGTAAAAGGCCACTTTGAGAGGGATCATCGGAGTTTGAGGTTCCGTGGCAAGCGAAATGGGCAATATTGCATTCGCGAATCTGGCGAATAACGCTTGCGGGGTCCGGCTGGTCGAGAACTTCCACATGAACGAAATTTCCAAGTGCTCCGAGGACCGTGGATGTTTCGGCCTTTACTCCGGGTAAGTCATTAGCGCCGGGTGTGTTTGCCATGGTAACCATAAGTAGCTTTGGAGGGGTTTCGTTTGATAGGTCAGAGGTAGAAACCCGCTCTCTGGCATGTAAGAGTGCCTTGATCGAAGGGGTATACGAAGATAAAACGCGACAGAATGTATTTTCTGCTGTAAAGATATCACCCGCAGCGTGAAATGGGAAGGAGCTGGCAAGTCCAGTGCCGATCCACCAGACCCTTGGCAGATCCTCTGGAGATGACTGAAATGAATGACCGAGTTCAGTGAGGACAGGCTTTACGCACTCCCGCCAGAGCCAGGTTAAAAATTGGCGGTATGATTTGTTATTCACAGCCGAAGTCAACTTCTGGTCGACCCAACGCTGCGCTTGGACCGCCTCAAGTCGAGGCAGAGGGACCAGGCTAAATCCAGATGCAGAGATGATGATAGCATCACTTCTTAGACTAGTGACGTTCACCACGATGATACTACCCTTAATGGAAGCATTCTGCATTTGCTCCGCAGTAAGACCCTGTTGAAAGGAGTCGAAGCCAGGAAGGTGTCGTATGTCCTGTATACATTTTTCGAGCTCCTCGATAGCCTTTGTCCGTCTTCTGGAGATCGATTCACCCGTCTGCTGGAATGTGGTGCTCTCAAGAGGAGTATTCACCTCAATGCGAAGGCTTTCGTATTGTACACATAAAGCGGGATGGGCGTCTTTTAGTTTAGACGTGTCACTCCGGTCATCCATAAGAAGACTAAGAATAACACCACGTCCACTGTCTAACAGTCGTAGAGCTTGGAAAGGGGGTTGTCGAGTCTGAAGTGCAAGGGAGCAGGCCTGTATAGCTAGGCCAGAAAAGTGTGAGACGACATATTGTCGGTCCTGTAGGGTCAAAGACCTTTTGTGAACGAGCTGTAGGAGATCGATAGCTTCAGCAGATAGTGTGTAAGCGCCACAATAATCTTCTCGCTTGAGCAGGAGGCGAAGGGCTAGAACAGCAGCAGCAATCCGTTTTAAAGGAGGTGCTTGTTTAATCAGAACCGCCTGGCGAGACACCTGGATCGCCTCTTCGAGGTCGCCTATCTGTCTAGTTCGTTCGTATCGACTTTCGAGCTTGTTCCCGAGGTTATTGAACCACATTGCCAGGTCGGGATGATCATTAGGAGTGGCCACAACCGCCTGACGAGACACCCGGATCGCCTCTTCGAGGTCGTCTATCTGTCCTATTTGTTCGTAACGTTTTTTCAGCTTGTTTCCGAGGTTATTGAACCACGCTGCAAGATGAGGATGATCACTAGGTGTGGCCGCAATCGCCTGGCGAGAAACCTGGATGGCCTCTTCGAGGTCGTCTATCTTTCCTGTTCGTTCGTATCGACTTTCTAGGTTGTTACCGAGGTTACTGAAAAGCGCTGCAAGATCAGGATGATTAATAGGTGTGGCTGCAACCGCCTGACGAGACACTCGAATCGCTTCTTCGACGTCGTCCATCTGTCCTGTTCGTTCGTACCGACTGTTCAGATTGATTCCGAGGTTATTCAATCGCACCGTAAGATCAGGATGATCATTAGGAGTGGCCGCAGCCGCCTGGCGAGAGAACTGGATCGCCTCTTCGAGGTCGTCCATCTGCCCTGTTCGTTCGTATCGCCGACCGAGCTTGTTTTCGAGGTTATTCAATCGCCCCGCTAAATTAGGGTGCTTATCAGGAGTGGCCGCAACCGCCTGGCGAGACACCTGGATAGCCTCTTCGAGGTCTTCTATCTGTCCTATTCGTTCGTAACGTTTTTCTAGTTTATTGCCGAGGTTATTGAACCACTTTGCAAGATTCGGATGATCACTAGGTGTGGCCGCAACCGCCTGGCGAGACACCTGGATGGCCTCTCCGAGGTCGTCCATCTGTCCTGTTCGTTCGTATCGACTTTCCAGGTTGTTGCCGAGGTTATTGAACCACGTTGCAAGGTCAGGATGATCACAGGGTGTGGCCGCAACCGCTTGGCGAGACACCTGGATGGCCTCTTCGAGGTCGTCCATTTGTCCTATTTGATCGTATCGACTAGCCAGCTTGATGCCGAGGTTATTGAACCACGTTGCAAGGTCAGGATGATCACAAGGTGTGGCCGCAACCGCCTGGCGAGACACCTGGATGGCCTCTTCGAGGTCGTCCATTTGTCCTCTTCGATGGTATCGACTTTCCAGCTTGTTACTAAGGCTATTCAATCGCTCCGCAAGACACGGATGTCCATCAGGGGTGGCCGCAACCGCCTGGCGAGAGAGTCGGATCGCCTCTTCGAGATCGTCCATCTGTCCAGCTCGTTCGTATCGACTATTCAGGTTGATTCCGAGGCTATTTAATCGCCCCGCAAGGTTGGGATGTC